GCTGCATTCAAGGAGAGCAGGAGGCAGAGTGGCTGGCGACAGTGAGCACCAGGAGAGCACCGAGAGATTAGACCAGAGAAGGGCGAGGAGGGTTGGCACAGGTTAGGGGTTTTTAGGCCATTGTAAGGATTTGAGGTTCGGAAGGACTTTTAAGAATGAGAAGCCACTGGAGCTTTTTGAGCAGAGATGACAGGCTCTGACTCACCTTTAACAGATGACCTCTTTTGGGAAGAGTGTGCGTGAGGGGCAAGGGCGGAAGCCAGGAGACCAGTTAGGCGGCTATTGCAATAATCCAGGTGCACGATGCTGGTGCTTGGTCCAGCCTGAAGGCGTGGAGATGGTGAGAAATGGTGTGACTCTGAGTATGTTCTGAAGACAGGAACAGGACTTGCTGACAAAATGGATGTGGGGTATTAGAGAAAGAGAAGACTCAAGGGGTGAAGTTTTTATTGTCAAATTTCATTCTTCAGGATTTTAGAAGTGTCTCCAAGCCTGCTCCATAAATACTAGAATACCAGTCATTCCGTAACTGGTATCGAACTCTCAGTTTTTGGTTAACTCTTCCACTCTCCTAGACATCTTGCATGTTGTAGGCTTATAGGGAAGAACCGAGAGCACTGGACTCCAGCGCCCATAGAGGTTAAGCAATTGATATAAAACTACTAATGAAATAATAAAATAGCCATTGATTTAATATTCATTATGTGACCACAGAATGGCCTATAGTGGATAATGTCCATCAATAATTTGTCAAATATTCAGAGAAAACCCAACAAAGCTATATAACACCAGTGCCTATTAATCAAGCATATTTTTTCCTAAATAAAATTGACAGGAACAGCATGTACAACTCAATTGGGATATTTTTTTATGAGTGAGACCAAGCTGAGTTTTGACCATTTTATTAGCTAAGAATGCTTTTGGCTGCAGATAACAGAAAACTTGACTAAGTGTTTAAACAGTGTAAACATTTTTTATCTCACTTAAGAAAACTGGAAGCGAATGGTTATTGGCTGCTAAGTCTTGCCATTAAGGATGTATGATCTTTCTAAATTTCCAATTTGCTATTCTTGGCACATTGGCTTTTTTGTTTTCATGCTTATCATTTTATGGTCTCAACATGGCTACCTGAACTCCAGACATTCTGTCTCCCACCTTCTGTCAGGATAGCAAAAGCTGTCACAAAAGTACCCTCGTCAACTTCACCTTACATGTCATTCGTCACATCTAGGCCACATGGCTGCAAGGTTGACTGGCAAAGCAAGTAAGGGTTATCATGTCTGGTTGCAACCATGATATCTGTCCTGGGCCTGGGCACACTGATGTCCTCAATAAAAATCACAGTTCCATTAGTGTGAAAGAGGCTGCTGGGGATGCGCACACAGTGTCTGCCACGTTGTCCTCCAGCTTCCCTGGCCAAGATTGACCATTTGAATATGAGCATCAGGTTTTCAGTCTCTGAGCTGGTGCATCATAGACTTAAAATGTGGTTTACAAATAACACTTGCTGCTGCTTCTCTGCTTTTCCTTACCAGCTTTAACTTAAAACTTACATTTCACAACTGATCTTAGAAAAATGATAAGAATTCTGTCTTCTCTGAAAGGAGGAAGGGAAATAAAACCCCCCAAAGATTCCACATGGTTGCCTAGGTAGGAAGAAGTATGACCTTCCCACCCCCAAAAAGGAGAAAACCAGGAGAGAGCCATGAAGCCGGGACTTTTACAGCTGTGTTCATCCCCATGCTCTTCGGGGCTTCGCTCAGAGCTGTTGTTCTGTGCTAGGAGCAATCTTTTCTTGGCCCCGAAGCCTCTGGAATGAGATCCACATACTTAGATGAGTCTCTTGTCCCAGAGGGTGTGGTTGGAAGCAGTGCCACAGAAGAGCTCTCAGATCTGGGGTGCGTTCTCCTAAAGGACTGTGAACAGGCATTTGCTTTGGCTTCAGAGAACGGCAGCAAGCAAAGCTCTGTTACCAGGTGTCGCAGCCTCTGCCCTGAGAACCTTTGTAGCTCAGAATAGAGCACGGACCCTTGGAAGCTCATAAACCCCTGGGGATTCCTTGTCCTCCTTTCTCTTCCAACAGCCGAGCTCTCCTCCCTTCCCGTCCCTTTCACCTTGTTTGTCTTTTCTGATGAGTCACGAACGTACTGCTGCTCCTCTGTGCTGACCTTTTGTTTGTTGATTAACACACTGATGTAATTCATTGAAGGCTACAGTTTTGCAGCTGGAGCTATAGAACGAATGGATGAAATAGTTTTCTTTCATGTATTTTTCAGATGAATTTTCCTGGTAATATGAGTTTCTTCGAAGACTAGTAGAAAACTGGCCTTATCACCTTCTCTCATTTTGTTCCCTTTCAAGTCACCTCAAAAAATTATCCTTCATCCCCCTTTCACTGTATAAATGCCCCAGCTTTGTGAAATAGCATGCCTTACAGTGGTGGTCTGAATCTATTTTTAAACTGCCTTTAGATCATTTTACTAAACCTTGTTCATATTGGGAGTAATCCTTTCCTCCATTTTAATCTTGTCACCAAGGCAGGTTAGAGACAGATTTAGTAATAAATTCCTAGAATGACTAGAACTTTCAAACTAGTATGCCCTTTGGATATTGTCTAGTTCAATCGTCTGATTCACTGATGCACAGACTAATTTGTAATACTGATGACATATTTTTTTATTAGCAAATGCCCTTCTTAAACCCTTATGTAGCTTTCTGAGATAAGTTTAGTCTTTTATTCTTTTACTTTGTTACTTCTTTATTAGACTTAGAATGTGCATCAATTAGTAATGCTTTCAGCTGCAATTAACAGTACCTGAGCAAAAGTGGCTTAACCCCTAAGGATATTTATCATCCATACTTAACAGGGTATTCAGAGGTAGTAGGGAATCTGAGAGTTGGATCCAGCTCACTGAGTCATCAAGAACCCAGGCTCTTTCTGTCTTTCCAATTTTCCTCCGGCCTAGCTTGTTGTCCTTTGTCTTCACGCCTGCTGCCCCCATGTCACAGGGCGCAGCTTTAGGAAACGCACCTATGTCAAGGAAAGAGTAAGAGTGAGGGGCTAGTACCAGTGGCTTCTCCTCTAAATCCTGTCTGTTTAATCAGGGAGCAAAATACCTTTCCAGAAGCACCCCAATACACTTCTCCTTACATCTTATTGACCAGAATATCACATGGCCCCACTCAGCTGCAGGAGGGGCTGGGGAAGTATGGGGTTTTATCAACCTTTGTAGTGGGAGGGACATTGGAGGAGAGGGGTTTGAGAGTGGCTTTTGATTGGCCAAACCAACAGTGTCTGTCAGAGTAGTCATCCTAAACACTGCATTCACCTGTATCTTTTCCTGCCCATTCACCCAAAACTTACGAGCATCGGCCCTCAAGTCGGACTTCCGGAGTTCACATCCCAGCTTCACTTCGTTGCTGACTCTGACTTGAGGCTTCCCTCTGCTTGTGTTTCCTTTACTGTAAGACAGGGTTAATAAGGCACCAATTCCATATGATGATTACATTAATGGCCTGAAGTTAGCACGTGGCACTCCATAAATGTCATCATCGCCACCCGCCATGGCTTAGCACTCCCACATAGATACCAACCAAGCCCAGAGCAAGCTTCATGACTGGCAGTTTTTTCCCACTTTTGAACAAAACAACTTGAAAGAGTAGCTTCAAGTAGCTTGAACTTCATAATTACTGACTTAAAAGTGAGATATACAAAATCTCAACCTGATTAGAAAAATCCCTAAAAGATTTCCAGTCATAACAGAATTTGCCTACCTTTGTTGGGATGATTTATAACTGCCACGTTTCTTTATTTAGAAATAAAACACTATAGGCCTTCTGTAAATCCTTTATGTATTCAAGCAGTATGGTGAAAGACTTATTTTGATTTGAATCCATCAAATCAAGAATCTGAGACTCTTCTGTAATCTGCAATATATGTATAATAGTTCTATAGAGTGACTCAGCTGGAAACTTTAAAAAAAAACCAGCACCAAGTAGAGTTAGAGACAGAAATCTCTGCAGTGTCTTCTCAGTTAGACAGGAGAATCCAGGAGCTGTTTAAACATAGGAGATACTCAACAGATAGTTGTTGATGAAAAAAAATTTGTAGAATGCAAAAACATCAGGAAATAATTTCAAGTTTTGCAGGAAACCATAGCACTCTAGAATTTGGTAATCCTAGCATAAAAGCAATGGCGAGAACCCCAGAGCAGCTTCTAGAAAGAATTGTGGTCTTATAGGGGACTGGAGAGTAGGATCATCACAGACTCATTCCTCAGGGGGAGTCTTTGCAGAGCTACAGGAGCAGGAAAGAAAGTAAGTGACCATGTTCCAGTGAGGGTCAAGTGAGGCCACGGTCCTGGAGGAAGCTCGGGTGACCACAGGACTGAGCCCTGGGAGCCATCCACTCGCCAAAAACCCGAGGTCACAGCTTCCACCCTTCTTGTGCCTGAGGGCTCAGGAAGCATGTCTTCCATCTAACAGCCAGTAATTCCAAGTTGACATTCCTTCAGAATGCAGAACAAATAAGGACAACAAAAATTCTGTCTTTATTTCTTAAAAATTTTTTTTTCCTTTTGGTGAGGAAGATTAGCCCTGAGCCAGCACCTGTCACCAGTCTTCCTCTTTTTGCTTGAGGACGACTGTCACTGAGCTAACACCTGTGCCAGTCTTCCTCTATTTTGTATGTGGGACACTGCCACATCGTGGCCTGATGAGTGGTGTGTGGGTCCACGCCTGGGATCAGAATCAGTGAACCCCGGGCCTCTGAAGTGGAGCACGAAAACTTCACCAGTCTGCCACGAGGCCAGCCCCTTTATTTCTTATCTAAATGAATGGATCCATCAGCCGGTCTCCGGTAGCTGTTGCCCACTTTGGGGAATGAAGTCGAGTCGTCAGCAGCCAGTCCCGTTCTCCAGGTGGTTAACACATGAGTGTGTCGCACATACGCATTTGTGAACAGTGTACTGACAGCCATTCTTCTCTGCCTTTCCCTCCAGAAAACCCGTTATGAAATGTACGTCAGCATTCTGAAAGAGGGAGGCAAGGAGCTCCTGAGGAACAGTGAAGGCGAGGCCGCGGGGCTGAAGAAGTCACATTCCAGCCCGTCGCTGAACCCAGACTCCTCTCCCGTCACTGCCAAGGTCAAGCGGAACGTGTCAGAGAGGAAAGATCACCGACCTGAAACAGCAAGCGTTAAGCAAAAAGTTACTTAGAATCCGCCTAGGACCAGGATGCTGGTCATGGGGAATAGAGTTTTTCAAGATCCTTCTGGTAAATCCATGAGTATATTTAAAAAAAAAAGTCTGTGACTAAATGGTGCATTAGTAACCTTTTCTATTGTATATTTTTGTTAGTTTCTGTACAGATTGTCTCCTTGCTCTTGATTTCTTTGCTTTGATGAGTTTTGCTACTTGGTAACTAATGCACCTTTTCTGTGAGGGGAGGGACCACGATTTCAGAATGAAAGCCGTCTCACTTCTCCTTTGGTTTTCTCTTGTTTGCACTCTACTCAGTTGTTTTATGTGTTCTCAAATCAGCTATTATACTTTTTTTTAAGGTTAAAAAATTTAATCCATTGTGAAACCCTTAACTGGACAAACTTTGTAGTTTAGTGAATTCTAGCCGGAGTTAATAGAAACCTTTATATGTGAAATCTTGCCGGGTCACAGAGGTGGAACCGAGCACTCACGGAGGTTCAGCCGAGAATTACAGTTACGGGAGTCGAGAGGCCCGCGGCGGTGCAGCTCTACCTGCATCTTAGCGCTTCTGTTGAGGTCGGACCCTGCTGGAAGCAGGCAGAGGGGGTGTGAAGGTCGCAGGACAGGGAGCTCAGGAAGCACTAGCTTGCCGGAAGTGTCGACTCCCTTTCAGCCAAGCAAGGGAAGAGGAAGTGGAATCTTTTCGCTGTTGAAGGTTGCCAGGAAGATGACAGCACGTTCCTGTGGTTCTGTCGAGGACCGTGGGGGCTGCACCAGTGGGCGTGTGTGTGGCCTGCAGGAAATTGTCCCCTTGCTCCCACAGGGTCTGGACCAGGGATGCGGACTCCTTCCTGTTGTCACACCCTGCCATCCAGGAATTAGATTCTTTTCTATGTTATATAGGCATGGTGTTATCTCCTGGCTGTAAGAATATTGGGGTCTTCCTAATGCAATAATGTGGGAAAAGGACCCCCTTTTGTTCTTTTCCTAAAGAAAACAAAATAAGAAAGGAAAAAGTAGTTGCAGTTGCCGGCAACGGAATATTGATTCTTTAAAATCAACTTGAAAGTAAAAAATAGTCTGAATGAATTATGGTTGGAAAACTGAGGAATCTGCTGTTGCATATGCAAAGTTACTTAATTTACTCTTATCTCAGCCTCTTTGATAGCCACTTGACTTTGCTACTACTGAACTTTCTCCTAAAAAGAGACACTTTATTTTAAATCATTTCTTCCTGTCTTCTCGAAATAGTTCTGTGAACCTTACAGTCACGAGCCTGTTGGAATGAGGTCCCTCTGGAATTCAGGGTGATAAACAGGACATTCTCTCGTGGAGGAAGACAAGAGTGAAAACTGAGCCCACAGTGAATTAGAACTTTCTGATTTTGAAACCTGTGAGCCTGAAATCTGTAATCTCCACAACTTCAGAACTATGGAATCACTTTGAATACTCTTTCCCTCCCACAGAAATTTCCTCTGTTCCACTCAGTTTATGAATTAAAGGTACTCTGACCAAAGAAGTAGGGACTCCGCATGAATAGCGTGGTTCCAGCGAGTTAGAGAAGACCCACTGTTAAACCGTGGTGGTGTCTAGTGGGGTGGTGTTCTGACGCAGAGGGTTATCTATTAACATTTACTTCCTTCACCCGTATGAATGCCCATCTTTGCTGGTGCCCAGGAAAGAGAAAGGCCTCTCTGAGGTGGCAGCTGCTTGCTTTGTGATAAGTATTTTGCCTCACCTTTGAAAGACTCACTCTGACTCTCTGTCTTGTTAGGTAAAGGGATAGATTCAATTTATGTTTCAAAACAGAAGCAAACAGGGTAGTGGCCAATATGGCCCATGTACCTGATTCATTTTCGTAGCTTCTGACTAAATCCAAGATTTCCACAAGGGAATCATCTTTCTTCCTAGAATCTGAATAATCAGCCTGTTTGTTTTCTGCATACATATATATCCTAAGCAGAGGGGAGAGAGGTACCTAGACTCTGTCATCTCTGAGCTTCAATAACTAAAGAAAAATAACCATCCCTGACTGGCTTGAATGTGTTGGCCCACAGTGTGAGTGTGTCTGTGTATAGAATGTCTCTGTGTATTTTACTTATAGTGTGTAATAGACATGGAATGGTACTTGTTACGTGTTGCTGACATTTAGAGTGGTTCTGAGATACTCGGCTAGCATCAGCACCACGACAGCCTTGTTCCCATTGTATGACTCTCTCATGCTAACGCAGGAGCCTCTGGCTGTGCTCATAGATAGTGGGTAAGAGGGCACTTTGGAAGCTGTGGATACTCTCTTTCCATAGTTTATCTTTAAAAACAACTGCAAAGATTATTTTGAGAGCCAGGATCCCAGATAGCCCTGGCATGATATTGTCCATCTTTAGGGGATGGGCTGAGAACACTCTCTGAGCCCTCTGAAATGTTACTGCCTGTTGTCAGTGTACTCAGCAGGCCAAGAGTTTATCCTGTAGGAGGAAATGCCTCTGATGTGACTAGATTCTGAAAATCTTACCCATAGCCAACCACATTTTCTTTTGTGGTAATTTCTTTCCTATGGTATCTGGTCAGAAGAAATTGAAGACGTTTCCTTCCACAGCCTGCTGCCCATTCACGGTACAGGGGAGTCACCTCCTCCTCTCCTTCCGAAGGGACACCCCCTCCCCACGCCCACTCCTCACCCCAACCTCAGCACAGGAGCCTTGGGATTTCTCTCATGTGACAAATCATTATTCCTCTACACATTTATACACTTAACATTAATTTTTAGTATAGAAAATCTGATAGTCATCAAAATACCTTGGTAATAGTCTTGTTGCCAAACTGACCATGGAAGTGGCCCACGTGTCAGATCCGTGAGTGTCTCGGGGTTCGTTCTCCCACCTCACAGGCTGACTTTTCCAGGAGGTGTCAGGAATTCCTTGGTGGCAGTCAAAACTTAATTCCTAGCATGCAGAGTCCTTATTTTATTGCCAGGCCATACACATTATTTGAAGTGTGCTTTTTAAAAACATCATTTTGCTAAGTCTTAGTAATGCCTAATTAAACCAAGCAATACTTCTGTGCATTTTAGTTAGTCTCAATCAAACCAGCCTGTGGGAGAGTGCTGTGGTGGCACTGTGTTCCGGCTGTGTGTAACCTTTTCTGTCGCTCTGAGGTAGGGAGGGTAGAAAGCAACTGTGTTAGGCCCTCCCTACTCCTCTGACTGTTACAGTTCAGAAGACAAGCACTGCTTCCTAGTCAGAGTGCTAGGAGGGAATTCATTCTAGACTAGGAGGACTGGCTGGCTTTCCAGGGCCAGGCTAGGGGTGGTTCTGTGGCCAAACCGCAGAGCTTCTGAGGCTGGAGAAGGGTTTACGTCACCACCAGCAGGGAGGCCCTTTGCCGCCTAGGCGCAGTTACACGGTTTCACTGGTCCTGCCCGCTGCCCCCGCTGTCAGGCAAAGGGCCCAGGACAGCGTTCTTCGCTAAGGCAGGGCCTGCTGTCACGGTGAGCCAGCAGTGTCTCTCCTCTGCCTTTATCCTCGGTCATAGACAGTTGAAAGAAAACCGACCTTAAGGAAGTTTCTCCGTGGTCTTACCATCAAGGCTTTCTTGTGTTTAGTTAGTTGTCCTTGGGATTTGAGCTCCTTTGGCATTTTTCCTTGTAGTCGTCAGTTTAGCTTTGTTAAACCTCAATTCACAGGGAGCATTTTAGCCTTGTAGGTCCAGTCTCTGTAGTTTAGCTCTTATGGACCTGGTCAAATTTCAGCAGGTTGGTGGCCACCTTCCTTAATTTCAGCCCCGAATAGTCCCTTCTTCACTTTTCAAATGACAGAATTTTTTCCAACTGTAAAATTAGCTCTGTTAAACAAAGAACCCAAGTGGCATGCTACGACTTGTAAAAAGTGGAGCCTGCTCTGTGGCTAACAGTGCGGCTGTGGGTTTGAATAGCATCTGCTTTTCTCGCAGAGCATCTGTTATTCTGACAGAAAAGGGTCGGTCAGCTGTGCGGGCAGATGAGCCTCTGGGCCCACCTTGCTCCAAAGCTCCCTGGCTGGCTGTTCTCCCAGGCCAGGCCACTCGTCTGCCCCAGCTCCGGCTTGTCACATCCTACACCATCAAGTCGTCCAGAGGATGGCAGAGATCATAGTTCACCACAAAATAATCCCCACAGGTGACAGAGCAGTGCTTTTCACTGCCTCTCTCAGATTCCTTTCAAACTTCGCACTCTGAAAAGGAGGGCTGAAGTCCAAAGTCATTGGCATTCTCCTTTTGTACCTACAGTATCCGAAACCGAGTGGGCAGCCTTCTGCTGAGGACAGGAGCTGGCCCTTTGCATGCAGGGAGAATTTCTTCAATAGGGAGAATGTCAGGAAATACTTGAATCTGCATGACGGTTGTTGACTTGAATGCAACAGCAAGAAAATATCGCAAGTATCTGTATATACAGTAGGTTTCCTTAAGTCTCTTTGGCTCATCCTTTGTAATTTATGTGTGTATCGGTAGTATTGCAGACTTTTCGAGAATATTCATATAGATAGTATGTCAGACATCAAAGAAAATGCCTTCTGTCACCTGCCAATGTTGTACTGTGGGTATTTATAGTTGTATGTATATGTATCAATGTGTAGATTGTCTATCAGTATATGGTATATGTATATCAAATTTATTTTTGTTCTAATAACCAGTGTGATATGAAAAGTAAAAACCTCATAGGATTGAGTATATAATGCAGTTATTGGGAGTATATATAATGGTACTGTTTTATTAAACTTAAATTCAAATGATATTTTCATTAAATTTTTTTAATAATAATATTTTATGCTAGAAAATTCCATCTTTGAGCTTTGAGTCACCAGGGCAACAATGATCTGCACTAACTTTGGGCAACTATTTCAGTGTACTGTGTATAGTAAGGCAGCTCATGATAATTTGGGATACACAGAACGAAGAAGAAAAACAGGCAGCCTGTGCAGCCTGTGCAGCTTCAGTATTCAGAGCACTCAAAGTCAAATGGACAATTGGGGCTTATTACAAACTGTGATGCTTTAAAGCACACGTTCTTTATTGTTGTAATTAGTCCAGAAAAATAGCTTTCCGAAGAGTTAAGTCAGTACCCACCATTTCATTTACGGACCTGTGTCTACTTTCCAGTGAGTCAAGCCCCTCTCCAGGCGCTGCCTCCTTACCCTCTTTACTGGGAAGAAATATTGCAGTGTACAGTATGTCAGGGCTCCCACACCGGGGCACTGCATTCTAGGTGTGCAGTTGCACAAATTACCCTCTGGTGTCACAAGTAAAAGAACTTAGGACAGGCTGTGGACCAGGTTCAACCTTTATTTAATATTTTCATATTTAGGTCTCTTTTCCTGTCTCTCCCCAAAGAAGAGCCACTGGCCTTAGTAGTTTGAGCTTACTGCTTATCTTACAGCGTGTAAATAGATAACTAGGGATTAAAGTTCTGCTGGCCAGCATGTTTGGTGTATTTAAAGCAGCACTGCGTGTGTGTGAGTGACGGGGTGAGTGCCGTGCGTTTGTGTAAACAGGCTGCCTCGTGTTCTCAGTGTCTGACTCAGAGAGCTGGACTGCGAGCAGGCCAGTCCACAGCTCCAGGCTGCAGTGGGGTATTGGTAGTTACACTCGAGTTTTTATATTAGCTCTAGAGTCTCAAAGTATTTTTCCAAATATCTCATATTTCCTAACTTGTTCTTGACGTGCAGTGCACTGGCTCTGTGACTGACGAGCAGGGTCTTTGTTTTGCAAGAATGTGTTTCCTTCTAAGAATTATAGTGATTTGCAAAAACATCCATTTGATTCAGAAATCATTTACAAAAGGAGTAGCAAAAATAAGTTTTATTTTGGGCCTTAATCATTTGAAATGTTTGAACTTTAATATAAAGCCATGTAGGTTATAAAGCCAGGTAACCATGTGGCATGGATAGTAATGTCCACTCTGTAGAGAGGATATATGCACATTGATTGTTTATGACATTAGGATACTTTTTTGTTTGTTTAAAGATTGGCACCTGAGCTAACATCTGTTGCCAATCTTTTTTTTTTCCTTCTTCTCCTTCCCAAAGCCCCCCAGTAGTTAGTTGTATACTCTAGTTGTGGGTCCTTCTAGTTGTGGCATGTGGGACGCCGCCTCAGCATGGCCTGATGAGCAGGGCCATGTCCGCACCCAGGATCTGAACCTGTGAAACCCTAGGCCGCAGAAGCTGAGCACGAAAACTTAACCACTTGGCCACAGGGCCAGCCCCTAGAATACTTTTTTTAAGCTCTAACAAGAGTAATTAGACCTCAGTGAGGTCAGGGGTGCGAGTGTGTGAGCTAGTTGCCTCCATTTGGGGCAGACATGCAGGTGGTCAGTCCTCTGCTTCTGAGAGATTTGGAACCAGTTTACTGTCCCCTTAGGTGCATAAGGGAAAGGTTCACACATCTGGGGCCTCTCGTGTGTGTACATTCGCTTGCACACCTGTACACATAGTGTTTGAAGTTACACAAACTTAAGACACAAAGGGCTAGAGTGTTGCACAGAGGTGATAAACAAAGGGGGTGGAACCTGCCTCAGAGGGGTGTTGCGGGGCCAGGGAGGAGGCTGAGCACTGGTGCCTGACTTGGAGATGCATGCATTTTTAACAAATAAGTGAGGGCATACAGAGCACATCCTTTCTGGTGGACACCAATTGGCAGCTTTCTGGTAATTCATGAGCAGCAGCTCTCCAGCATCCCACAGTGGCCTGGGGAAGTTCCAGAAGGCTGGTGTGCGCCATTTCCAGGGTGGCATTGCCGCTTGCTCCGGAAGCCCTCCCCAGGGGAGCTCTCGAGCCGTGCTGGTGGAGAGCGCAGACTGGAGCATGCTCAACAGTTAAGCCCTTCCCATCAGCAACAACAGTGAGGCTGGAAATGGGAGGGCACTGAGCTCAAACGTCTTTCCCTTTGCAGGGGAGAGAGCTAAGCTCTCACTAATGGTGTTCTTCAAATAAGCACCTTCACTTCAATTCCTGAAAATGATGGTTGATGAGAGAATTTGAGTTTGACGCACTATTTCCCCGTGAGTGAGTCTTCAGTCCTCCCAGGAGAGCCCAGCCACAGAGCCCAGGGCAGCACTGCCGGCTGGCGACTCCTCGCCCCGCCCCTGAGTGCCCGGCCCGCAGAGGGGCATGTTTCCTCTCTGCACAGGGGAGCTTCTCCCTCCCGTACCACTCCACTCGGCCTTCTGCTGAGCAGCAAGCACATCTGGGTTTCACATGCTACTTCCCCAGCTTTGGGAATCCAGCCATCCTAAGGGTTGACCCTGCCGAGGCGAGACATCAATGCTGAGAATGACCGAGTCACTGGAGGTGACACATGACAAAGGTAAAAAAGTTCCCTAACTGAAACCTAGACCATATATTTTGCCTTTGCAAGAAACAAGCCAGCATGCTGCTCTCCACCCGGGGACAGGGATGGGGATGTGCTCGCTGTAGCGCCCAGACCTCTGGAAGTGCACGCCATTTCATTTCCGTGGGAAGATGAGGGCCCACTCAACTTAGCGCCTAGCAGTTCTGCTCAGCCTGGATGGGAGCTGTGGGCGCAGGCCTCAGGGCCTCCCTGCGCTCTCTGCTACCTCCAGTTTCAGGGGCCCGTTTCTGGAACAGAAATCTACACAAGTGGAGAGGCGGCATGTCAGCCTCGGTTACTATAGCACAGGCAGTGGTGTGTATCCTTTCATAGGAAACAAGCTGTTAACGTTCAAACCTGTTATCTGGGTTCTGTTTACCGTGGCTCAAACTAATTGGCAGTGTGGACCATTCTTTACCTTCAGAGTCTTCTCTACCAATCCCTTCAGTTTCATTGCAGTCCTGGTGCCAGATGTCCCTGCAAACTGTGAAAGCAATTAGCAACAAACTAGCGGCCTCGTCCTTTCCAGTGGCCACACTGTCAGCACTGACAGACTTGAGTAAGCTAGTGGTACCGAATCACGTACTGGAGACCTGTTCCTCATTGTCACCCACCAGATTTGAGAAATGCCATCTCCTAGAAAGTCGTGGCATTTATGGTGGTCATCTTTTGAACGGAACAGTAATTTATGTGGATATTGTTAAAGTGTTTAAAGAAGATTTTGAAAATTAAGTTTACATTTTACAATTGCTTTATTTTTTATTAACATAGTTGTATATAAATATCATCCTATCTCACCGTTACTGAAGTAAACCTAAACCGTGTCGACAAGCGAGTCACTGATGCGCACAGAAGCCGCGACCCGTGTAGTACATCTCTACTGTGCAAGCGTTCGTGAATGGAACTGCACCTGTGTTTTTATAAGTTGGGGATCATTTGTTGTTTTACAACAACAAAATTTACTGCATTTAAGTGGTTTTTATGTAATAGAAATCATGCAAAATAGTGAAGGATTTAAAATATGTGTATGATATACGTAAATGTACAAACTTTAGAAAGAAATAAATCCAACAAGTTTCAATCATTTGGGAGAACGTTGTTTGTTCATTTAAGCAACTAGAATACTACCTTTAAAAATCAAGGCAACATGACATACCCCTCTTCCATAAAAGGTCAGCCGCAAGTCCCACAGTGAGAGATTGGGCTGGGTAATTGATTAAGGTGGTGAGAAGGTCAGATTGTTACCTCTGACTCACCTGCAGAGACCAGAGGCCCACTGTCCTCACCAGGGGGCTCTGAGCAGGGGCAGAACGCACGTTTTGGAGTAATTTCCAGAATCCATTTGCATTCCCATTTAACACATATCAAGGCAGGGGGACCAGGAGTCAATTATTGCCCTGAAATACAAATACTGCTCACTGCTTCGTGGTGCCTGATGTATATACTTGTATTCTCATAACCAAGCTCACTGTTGAAATACTATCTGTTGACTTGGAAGATTAAAAAATAAAATTCCACCCTAATCATTTAACTTCTGAATACTGGGGAGGATGTCTTATGTTTGGGGGTTTGGGCTTTTGAAGCTAGGTCACTGGTTACGTCCTCCTAAACATAAATGAAACTGTTGCCCGGCAGAGGTCAAAACCATTCTGATGCGTAAAGCTCAGAGAAATAAACGGCTGGGGGCAGGGAAAGGGGAGAGAGGTCCCTTGGCTTCCACTCAAATTTCCTATTTTGAAAGTGAATCTCAAACATGAATCCTCTTAGACGAATAGTGAATGATATTGTACACCTGAAACTAAAAGTGTTATATATCAATTATATCTCAGTTAAAAAAAAATGAATCCTCGTAGCCCAGCTGTCCATCCTCCGGACATAGTTTTGTGTACATTGTCATACTCTGATTGGTGCACAATCAATATTAGAACCAAAGGAACAAGAGAGATCATTTGTAAAAGATGAACACTCATGAGAGGAAACTAAAACCCAGGGCAAATTAAGATATTGTAATGAAAAACTAGCAACTCTAAGCTATGGCTCCTCTCTAGATTAAATCTATCCCACAGTGCTGAGATTTAGCAATGAGACTGCTGAATCACTGTCAAATTTTACCGAAAAATTGTAAGCAGTAGGAAGTACTGGAGACAGGCAAATATCTTTCTAATATGAGAGAAGATTGTGAGTTCTGGATGCTGGAGACCATTGAGCTTGATAATAATTCTCAGCATAGTTTTAGAGAGAAGAATAAGGGAAACAGGCATTACTGGAAGCCAGCATGGGTTTCCAAAACAAACCATTTCAGACTATGTTCATTTCCCATTTTGTTAGAGTAGGTAGATTTAAAAAATGCGGTAGACAGAATATCTGAGCCATAAAGAATTTAACAGGGTCTTTAAAGAAATATCTGTGGGCAAAATGGAGAAATATGGTTC